GCTGTTTGTTTACATGAAAACTAATTTTGACAAAAATACATTCAAAGTATACAGGATTTTCCTTGAAAGCTATAAGCTCAGATGATAAATTTGAGGAGACATAAGTGGCTACCCCTCCTCCACGAGTAGCTCTATCAGATCTATACAAGACATAACCATCCAGTTTAATTTCCTCATCCAATATATTTTTATTCAACCAGGTCTCAGACAATGTTATAACACTTGGTTTATTATAGACCAACCAGGCCCTTAAGAGATCGATTTTGTGTAGCAAGCTCCTGATATTCAGATGAATAACAAATAATCCTTTACCCATGTTGACTAGTCAACAACATAGGAAATAGAGTTGAAGGGTAGGGGGCTGGAGGGGGAGAGCGAAGGTGAAATAGAGCAGCATACACGCACACACTCACACACAAACCTGCGCGCGCAGGCACACACGCGAGCGCACAAACTCACAAACTGGCTAAGCCGAAACATAACAAAATACAGATTTATAGTCTGCTAAATTTCTTAATAGAATAACATGAAGTGAAAACATATATAGATAGATATATTATATTGGCCAATATCATTACAATATAACCAAATGAAATAGGAGTATAACGTTAAATGAAATAATATAGGCTTATATACATACGTAGCCTACATAACATACATGCATGTATACACACATATAAAACGAAAAAACGGCCAAAATTAGGCAAATCGGCCCAAGAGACGGGTCACTTCCATAAATGTATTGCCTTTCATGCCACAATATAACAACAGCATCAACATGCACTCAATTAGATATACCTCAAAATCATTGAGACGAAAGAAATCAGTCTTTCTGAGAGTGAGCCTCGAGATCCTGAAGGAAAGACTCCGCTTCTCCAGGACTTTTACACAGTACTACTTTGCCCGCTGCGATAATCCTCAGTACGGCAGGATACAGAAGAGAATATTCGAACTTCAGCTCGCGGAGCTTTTTCTTGATGTCATCAAATTGCCGACGTTTATGAACAATGCCAGCGCTGAAGTCAGGAAAAATGTAGACGCGGTTGCCTTTATACTTTAGTTCCTTCTTCTCACGTGACAAACGTAGAATTAGTTGTTTATCCTGGAGGCTTAGGAATTTCACCAGGATTGGCCTTGGCCCAGCTTTCGGCTTATTTGTTTGTAATATAGTGGGAGAACGATGAGCTCTCTCGATGACTGGAGGAACTAAGAAGTTATCTTCCCCCAAAAGTAGCTGGATCAGACCTCTCATGAAGCCGATGATATCCTGGCCTTCCGATTTTTCCGGAACATGCAGAAAGCGTAGGTTGTATGCCCTGCAGCGATTCTCTGCATCCTCAACTTTGTCACGCAGGTTAGAGTTCTCGCTCATTAATGTTTTGACATACTTTTGTAGTTCAAATAAGTTATCTTCATTTGAGCTTACTCTTTGTTCAAGTTCTGACACATGATCACCAAGTGTGGACAACGAGCCTTGTATTGTTTGTAGGCCTGATTGGATATTATCCATTTTCGCGTCAAAATGGGAAAACAAGTCCAATTTCAGCTGCTGTATGGCATCCCAGAGTGACTGATTGGAGATCAGAGTTTGCTCCATAGCGCGCTCAATACACGCAGATCAACGTGTTAGATGATTGTAAATTTTGCAACAGGCAGAGGCAGTTCGTGATCGATTTGATGCAAAATAATGAGATGCAATTTGGGCACGAAGGCCGAGATAGTTTAGCTTTAGCAGACTACACCTGACGAGCACGTCGCTCACGCAGCCATCTTGGATTTGTGTGACAAGAGTTAGTATGCTGACAGAGTTAGTATGCCAAGTGATGTCCTTGTTGATGTATATTCCCAGGTATTTGTGGCAACTAGCAGAATTGATGGCTGAAGCATCAGAAGATTTGCAGGAGTTTTGACATTCAGAAGATGGGGGCCTGCTACTGGAGGAGGAATGTTGTGGAGACACATCACTTGGCCTGGGAGAAGAGGGCTTTGAAGAACATTTCTGAGTGCCTCAGGTTTTTTATTTGGCGATTCATAGCATCACCTATTACTGGGAATCAGAGTTCATTTTTACTTCCAATCAGTTTTTAGTGGGACTTTAATTTGATGACACCCTATACTGTAGATTTGGTTTCAATTTTCTTAAATGCATCTTCCAGAGTTGCCCATTTTCTTGCCACTTCTGCCTGATCAAATTGCAAATAAAACTGCTTGGACAGTTCATTGGCTTTTTTCCACGGCCATCCGTACCCTAGCCCCCAACTCAGCTAGAGATTTTGGTAGCTCAACTTCATATCTGGTAAGTCATTGAGGTACAGAATTGACTCTCTAGTGAAAACGTGGTTTGGGGGATAGGTAGAAAAAGAAGGTACAGAAGAAGTAGGAGGCGTGGTAGGAGAATTGGGGAAGCCAGAGGGTTCAGGGTTGGAGTAAGTAGTGTTAGATGGCTAAGAGTGTTAGAGGTAAAAGGAGAGAAACTGCTGGAATCTGTGTGGAAACAACAAAAACAGAAGAGTTTTATTATGTATAAAATGTACATACTGCCATTTTTCCTAATGATCACTTGCACAATGCAATTAATTGTTAAAAACATTACTTTATATAGACAGAAATTTTAATTCACTATAATAAAATGGCTGTTTTGTGTGTTGATTCAGAGTTGGCGTCATCTTATGTCCTTGCAGAGGTTGGCGTCATCTCTTCACATGTGTTGGGTCATCTGAAATCTTCATAAGAGGCTGGATTCAAACTGGAGCTGGCATAATCTCTAGAAATCTGCAGAGGTAGAAACAGAAAAACAAATGAAAAATGATTAGCGTAGCTAATCTACACCCCTTATGTCTCTTCGCAGACTACAGTCAGGCTCTTCAGGGTCTTCTTTCCCGGCAAATTCTGCCAAGCCGTTCCCTTGGCTGTGGTTTCGCTAGATAGCATGTAGGGACAGATGGCAGGTAATCTAAAGCCCTCATGTCTCTTCACAGTGCCAGACTACAGTCAAGCAGGATCTTCTTTCCCCGCTGGTTCTGCCAAGTTTGTTTTCTTGGCTGTGGTTTCACTATATAGCAGGTAGGGACAATCTCGTTCGTCCATTCTCGCTTAATCTCTAGACAATCGCTAGAAACAGAAAAGAAAATTAAAGAAAATGAACTAATCTACACCTCTAATGTCTCTTCACAGACCAGAGTCAAGCTCTACTCATTACTAATTAGATTATGAGGCATTTGGTTATTAACTTCTTGTTATCAAGCTGCCTTGGGTTAGATGTTATAACCCTAGTGACTTGAGGTTGGACACTATTCTTTCTTCTTTGGCACTCAGCAAAGGCGGTCGCATTTTCTCTCCCTCCCCTTACCTTTCCCTGCTTTTCTTCTCTCGTCACGTCTAGTCTACTGTCTTGTACTTTGAGAGACTCTCTCAGCACTGCTCTCCAAACTAAGAAATTATGGATTTGATCAACTGGTCTCTCAACGCAATTGACACCATCTTCTCGACGAGAAGCGTTTACGTAGGCTAAAAAATTACGTAGGCTAAAAAAATAAAAAATAAATAAATAAAAAAACAACTGACATTTCTTATATAAATATATTTGAATTTACATATTTACATTCTTCTTTTTAAACATGAACGTATTAATAAAATTGTAAATTCATTTTAGATAAATATATAAAATTAAGCATAAAAATCCGTCTCGCAAGACACGAAACTTGACGGAAGTGACGCAATTCATAGCAACGCGTTATAGCAACAACACCTCAGACTGACAGAAATGTAAAAATAAATGTAAATTTAGGTCACTTTAGTTACAGCATTTTTTTTTAAAAGAAAATCCCCCCAAGAACCGGACAGTTTTTCTGTGAAATGGAGCCTCAGCCTACTTCCTCAGTACTGGGGATGCAACATGCCCTCTCCCGTTGTGTCTAATATATGGGATGAAACTATCAAACCAAGGGATGATTCCGCAAACACCTGACCACCTCTCATCCAACCCTGCCAGGAGGGCGGCTGTGTTCGTCGCACCAGGCTCACGTCTCGATTGTGGTCACCCCCACCCCCGGCTTGTGTGAGCGCGTATACGCGCTGCATGCACGCATGTAGATCGTTCTCCCTCTCTCGTTGTGGATTATTGTTTGTGTGTGTGGGTGTATGTGTATGTGGGTGTGTGTGTGTGTGCATGTGCATGGCACGAATAAAAAAACAAGCACTATATGGAAAATCATTCCTGCTTATCTCTGGTGCATTTTTAACATGCATCTTTTTCTTATTGCATTGTATATATATATATATGTATGTATATTAATGTCTTCCCCTTTTTATTTTATTGTGCAGCATCCTGCACTTCATTTGAGTTCTCCTGGTCTGGATTTGTTATTGGGTTCTTGTATTGGGCGGTCCACCTCTTACGGTTTTATGGCATTTGTGTCTCTGATTAATTATTTTGTGAATTACTTTGCAAACCTTTGTTTTTAAAGAGCATATTGCAGGTAAAAAAAAATCGAAATTAATATATAAGCTTGTATGAAAATACCATATGAAAAGTAAATGCAGGATTTAAAACGTTTTAAAACGACATAAGGGCACTAATTTTGTAGATAAAGTGAGCGTTTCTTGGACTGCTTGTAAAAACGGCTTTTTTTTCAACAGCGCGTCATTTTACGTCATGTTAGGGAGCCGCCACCCGCCCTCGGTTCAGTGCAGAGTAGGTTGGTATTCAGTGAGAGCGGTCGTAAGTAAGTTTGTTTTCGGTAGTTATTGTATTTTAATTTATCATCGTCATGGTAAATTATTGTGTTTGTGGAGGTTGCAACAACTCCGACCTGTCAGGACATCGAGTCCACAGATTTCCTGACAAGAAGAAGGACGGTGCTGTCTTTCGTGCCTGGGTGAGGTTTGTGCAGGTGAAGAGACGGGATTTTTCTTCCGCATCGGCTTCTAAAAACGCGGTCGTCTGTAGCGTTCACTTTAGATCGGAGGATTATCGTCCGGGCGATTTGATGGAATTAAACATGGGATACCGAAGCAAGAGCCAAGTGAGACTCAAAGCTGGCGCGGTTCCTTCAGTGCACACCGCATCTTCAGCGGGTTCTCCCGCCGGCGGGAGACATGATGGTCACGGATCCGTCAGAGATGCAGCTCGACGAAAACGTGAACTGTGCACCGTAAGTCGTTTTTTTAAAAAACAATTACTAACTAACAAATCAGTCAACATAATTATTTAAATACTGTAATGAGAAGAAACGTGACCTGAACAAGTTGTTGTAAAGTACCGCAGATAGCTTGTATTAAGGCATAATAACGAATGCTAGTTAGCTAAAACAGCGAAATCGTAATTTATTGTCATGTTTTTTTATAAGGTTTTATTCAGAAAATCCATGTGATGAAGGGGGAGATGCATCTTCAGCCAGTGCTGCGGTGCTTGTTTCTGACCCAGCGCAAGAGCCTTTCTCTCCACTGGCCCCTCAATCATCTGTGCTTCACTGTGGCTCACAGTGTGACCTCAGACCTTCACATCGTTCATCAGGTGGATTAACATTACTCATATCTAGAATTAATTGTACATGGCAACATCTGTTTACATAATGTATGAGAGCAAATAATTAGTAAAATATTTTATGATGCAGGTACCTAAGCAGTGACATGCTGTTTGTATGACAATTGTATGACAGTGGACATATTTTGATTTTAGCTGTCCAGGCACAACCCAAGATGGTCAGTGTGGGGACTCAGACAGAAATGTTTAAGAAACCAACATCAACTCCACTGCCCAGTCCTGTGCACAGTGATGATGAATCCTCTGTTTTCATGGACAAACCTGGTGATATGCCATGGTTCCCAGAGGGGGAAATGAGAAGTGATTCATCTGATGAGGAACCACAGCAGGAATCTCACCCTGACCTCAAGTAAGACTTTTTTTTTTTTTTTTTTTAATTTGAGATTTTCTATGATCATATTGTGTCAAGTCAAAAATAATGTTTTTTTGTTTTGTTTTTTTTCAGTGCTGCTGACAAGTTCATTGTGTGCCAAAGCCAGCTGATGTCTCTCTTTACCATTTGCCCAGCCTGTTCTGGGGAAACCCAAGGCAATGTTGAGAAGCAGGAGGGAACTTTTGTAAAAATAAAGCAAGTAAGAAGCTATTTGTGATTTCTGGTAGAAAATTAAATTGTAACATAACTTGTTTATTTTGCTTTAATTATTACACTAAGTTATTTGTATGGTATAGTCATTTTCTGCCTTTCACATCTCTTAGGTCTGTGCAGCATGTGGGTATCAGCGTTTTTGGCAGAATCAGCCAATGCTGCATCGAAATATGCCGGCCTGCAACCTATTACTGAGTGGGGCCATCCACTTTTCAGGTTGCATGGCTACCCAGACCATCCGTATGTTGAAGCTGTTTGGGCTTCAGAGCATCAGTGTCAGCACCTTCTTCCGCCATCAGCGCTTTTACACGATTCCAACCATCGTGCAGGCGTGGCAGAATGAACAGGCAGCGATCATCAGAGATCTGAAAGAGATGAGGGGGGGACTGATCCTGTCTGGTGACTGCAGGTAGCACACTTCAGTTTATATCATTAAAATAGAAAACAAGTCTAAACTGGATAATCGAGTTTAATGTATTAGTTTTAGTGCTTAACCATAAATTAAACTGTTTTTGACATTCATAGGTCAGATTCACCTGGCCATTGTGCAAAATATGGCACATACTCTTTGATTGAGGACAGGATCAATAAGGTTTTAGATCTTCAACTTGTCCAGGTAAGTTTGTTATCAAACACACTTATCACCTGTCTAATGTTACACAGTGAGATGACCAAATGTTTTTTTTTTTATTTATTTTTTTTTATTTACAGAGCTCCGAGGTCCCAAGTAGCACCTGGTGTGAGTTAGAGGGCCTAAAGCGCAGCATAAACTTTCTGACTCAGCAACATATGCAAGTGTCTGCCCTCATCACAGACAGAAATCGGCAGGTAAAGAAACGCACATGTACACATCTAAAATATTCCTGCTGACTATATTTACAACTAAAATCAAATGTTCTTTTTCAAAATGTCAGGTTGCCAAGTGGGTACGGGAGGAGTTGTGTCCCAAAGGAACAAGCCATTTCTTTGATATTTGGCATATTGGCAAAAGTATGTTGCTTAAAGAAAGTAGTTTTGTTTAGATTGTCTATAATACCATTTTCCTTTTTAATATTTTGTGTTTCTGTTCTAAAACAGGCCTAGGGAAAGCATTGGATGCTGCTGCAAAGGAGAGGGAGTGTGAAGATCTGAAGCTGTGGAGGCCAGCTATTATTAACCATCTCTACTGGACTGCAGCTTCCACCCCTAATGGAGATGCAGATGTGATGGAGGCCAAGTGGAGAAGCATGGTCAACCATGTTCAGGACATCCACGAACATGGCACTGCTACATTTCCTTGCTGTGCACATCCACCTCTGGAGGGTGAAGCAAGGAACAAGGAGTGGCTGGAACCAGGTACAAAATACTGTTTATTATGTGGCTGAAAATGTATAGTGAATGTTCATTGTGCTTGTTTTTCCAAATAAGGGTTTGCCATTTCTGAGATGTCGTAGCAACTCTCAAGCTAGCCGCGTTACAAAATAAACCGGATTAACTAATAACACAATGAAGATAATATGAACGAGAGGTGCTTTTGTTTCGAAACAGGATTTTTAACATGCTTTTTTTAACAAATGTTTTGAATGCATCTGGATATTTCTCACATACTCTTGATTCTCATACTATTCAGTGTTAGCGCACCAAATAATCATTTTAATAGCCAAAAAAAAAAAAAAAAAAAAACATGAACAATATGTGATACAAATCCCACCTAATTGTGATCGTCCAATCATGACTCATCTTAATAACAAGATGTGCGTTTATGTGTGTTTATGCAGGATCAACTGTAGCAGTTAAACTGGAGAGTGTAGCTACTAGAACAGCGCTGGTAAAGGATGTTCGGCAGTTGTCCCCACAGCATCAGACTTTTTCACTGGAGGCATTTCACTCCCTGATCCTGCACTTTGCACCGAAGCACACTGGGTTCTCCTTCCTTGGGATGCACAGCAGGTAAGTGTGTGATGTGAAACAATGAGTACTTTCTGAAACTAATGCAGTCTAACACAGCAGCCCAACTTTCTTTAAATGTGTTAGTAAGCAATACTTTTATGTTTTTTTATATATATGTGTTGTTTTTACTTCTGGGTTTATTCACATATGCATAACTTGTAATGGGTACAAATTACACTTTTTCTACAGACTTCTCTTGGCAGCCCTGCATTTCAACCACAATGGCAGCAGAGAGGTAGCTCGAACCAGTGATGGTGAGGCATGTTATGCGGTTCGCTACCCAAGGTTCCGCAAAGGTGGCTGGGTAGTCCGTCCTGTAAAGGAAAAGCCATCATATGGTGGGCAGTTTCAGTCAGTTCCTAATAAGGGTGTAACGATATTCGAACCAAACCGAAAGACCGTGATACAGAATCCACAATTCGAATCGCGATAATCTCATGGAATTCCGAACACGCCCCGCCCCCTGCTACACCAGCCCCGCACAATGGACCTCATGTCTTATGTGTACACAACGAATTCAGTTAGCCTTACCACCAATAATAATAAGCAAGGTGTAATCTTTCTAATTCTGTCTATTTGATCACGAAATTCAAACAATAAATGGTGTTTTGGCTCTCTTTGATGTGGCGTGACAGATCGCTGTACTAGATCCTCATTTCATGCGGCAGCGCAGAGCACGAGTAAACGCAATCATCTCTTCCTCAGTTACAGAATAAAAATGAATAGACACCTGAAGGTATGTTGACTTGAAAGATGCAGTTAACTTACTGAAAGGCATCATAACTCGTGTAATCGCTCAATCACTGTTTCAGCAGCGGAAAGACGTCTATAAAACAGCTTAGTGTCACCACCCTTGGACCTTCTGTGTGTTGTCATTTACCACGTGTGCCCCTCATCTGAGTTCTCCGCCCTCATCTGTTTCCATGGACACTAATCACCTCCCGCACAGCTGATTGTCATTTGTTAATCACCGTCACTGTGTATTTAAGTTCCTGCCTGTCTTCACTCCCTTGTCCGGTATTGTTTGTATGTTACATGCTGTCATCCTGTTTGCCTGATCCTGAGATTCCGTGATTAAAATTATTGTTAATTCTACCCTCCTCGTCGTCCTCCTTGACCAGCCCGTGACAGAATACCGGACCAAAACCTCAAGATGAACATCGATTTCATCAATCTCGCTGAATTATCATCAGATTTTATTTCGTTTTCCAGAGACTTTGTTTCCCTTGCACTCTCCAGCTCCCTCGATGATGAAACCCTGAAGACCCTGTTCTGGATCGGGGCCACCTACCACCAGCACTTCGACCTCCCAGACACCTCTAACCTGAACTGGAAGGAGGCCGTTTCCCGGTGTCTGGAGAGCGTCGAAGCCCGATTCAGAACACTGCCAGACCCAGAGCCGGAATTACCACCCTCGACCGCGGAGATCTTGTGCGTGCCCCCCGCAGACGGAGAGCTACCACCCGCCGCGACGTGTCAACCAGTGCCCGAGACGAAGAGGACAGAGTTGACCCTCGCCCCGGAGGAGGAGCTCCATCAGGAGTCTGACCAGGGGTGTGAGCCCACAACATCTGCGGACGAGGGGACTAATTTCCTGGAACTGGAGGACTGGCTGATGAAACCCAGGACACTGGATATCGTTCCCGCCCTATCCCACCCGTCATCGGCACCTATTTCAAATTTTCAACCATCCTGTGATGACTTCTGTCCTGCCGTTTGTCTGATTCACTCCATCCCATCACCGTTCCCAGTCAGTCCTCCAGCCTCGCCGCTGCTGGATGTGCGCAGCCCTGCACCATCTCCGTGGGGAGTCTCCGACGTCGAGCGGCAGGTCAGCCCACCATCCGCAGCGCCTGTGTTCGAGGATCCCACGGCTTCGCCTCCAGCCTCGGTCCTCGGCACTCCATCTCGGCCAGTCGACCTGCCGGCTCCGTCTTGGCTCCTCCCACCTGCGCCTCCGCCTGAGACCCTCAAGACATCGGCTGCAGCGGGTTCCCTCGTCCTGCCGGCTCCCCCTTGGTCAGTCGTCACTCTGCCTGCGCCACGGACTTGCGGTCAGTCGTCTACGCTTGATCCCTCCACCCCTTCGGCTTCAGCGGGCTCCTCCTTCCCTGTGGCGTCCCCTCTGTCCTCCCTCACTCCACCTCCACCTCAGCTCTCGGGCACTCTGACTACGGCTCCAGCGCTCGTCGCTGCGACGTCGCCGGAGTCTCCTATACCGGTGACGTCGCTTGAGTCCACCGGCTCTCCGTCTGCGCCGAGAGATCCTGCCACCGAGTCTCCGTCGGTCATCCCCCAGCTACCGGCAGTCCCCTCGCCATCTGGTTTCTTCCCTCCGTCTTCTCTGCCATCGGCTGTCGGTACTGGGAGGCTCTGGGTCTGCGCCACCGCGCCATCCTCATCTAGGCCGCCAGGGAATCGTCATCGTCCCCTCACCGTCCCGTCACTCCAGCCTCTCGTCTGTGTTCCACCATCATCTCGTCCTCCACCTGAACCTCCCCCGGTCCCCCCTCCGTCATTTTGCCACGGCGCGAGGTCGCGCCTTGCCGGAGGGGGGCGATCTGTCACCACCCTTGGACCTTCTGTGTGTTGTCATTTACCACGTGTGCCCCTCATCTGAGTTCTCCGCCCTCATCTGTTTCCATGGACACTAATCACCTCCCGCACAGCTGATTGTCATTTGTTAATCACCGTCACTGTGTATTTAAGTTCCTGCCTGTCTTCACTCCCTTGTCCGGTATTGTTTGTATGTTACATGCTGTCATCCTGTTTGCCTGATCCTGAGATTCCGTGATTAAAATTATTGTTAATTCTACCCTCCTCGTCGTCCTCCTTGACCAGCCCGTGACACTTAGCTTGTCACTAGCATAATATTTACCTCAACAGGCAAGTGATTCAGTGTCCGCAACTTGTTGGTTCCTATAAATGAACTCTTGCACTAAATAAATGCACTATATTAGCCTATATATTATATTTTAACTAACCTGTTAATCTTGATAATTTATTGTATATTTAAAATATCTTTCATGAAAATGACAGCAACTGTGTAAATTATTGTATTTCAATAACAAATTTGCACAAGTTAATGCAAAAACTGCCTTACATTCTGTTTACATGTTTTCATACGTGTTGTGTGTTGATTATTATATCTTAAAAATAAATAGCATCTGAATTTAGGCTAGAAGTCTAGGCTATGTTGTCAACCTTTTCATCTTATAGTAAAGTGCGGCTCCCATATAATTATACAGCATAGCAAATTTTCTTTAATCCTTGCAAAACGTTTAATTGTAATTTAATTAATTTAAAGACAAAGATACAATATTTTCATTAAACCACTGTTTAAAAAAAACAACAACTAAAAAACAAAAAAATAAATTTTAGCTTTCTAAACCGAACCGAGACGTCAAAACCATGGAAAAACCGTACTGTAAGTTTTGATAATCGTTACACCCCTAGTTCCTAAATATTAAGTCAGACCACGAGTTGGCAAATGAATGTGAATATATTTCTCCCAGCATATGCATCAGCCCTCATGGAGTCTCTGAGAGAGGAATACTCTAGGTCACCACAGGCTCTACGAGAACGCAGTGCAGTTTTGTCTTCCTCTACACCTGCTCCCCTTTCCAGATCCCACCAGAGGATCAACAAGGATGAGGCTGTTGGCGTGTATCTATCACAGCATTCACGATTTAACACGTTAATTACACCTTAGTATGATACCTGAGAGATTATTAAATTGTATATATGATAATAAAAAAGTTTTATAGAGACAATTTGTGATTGTTTATTTTCTATTGATTGTCAACAAAATTGGGCCATTCAAAACCTTTATAAAGTCCTCCTTCCTCTGGAAACTGCCCTCTAATGGCTGACACAACACATGCAGGTAAGGGCTTCCTGATGTGCCTGCCCAGAATCCCATAGGCCCAGCGGACAACCAGCCTGTATGCAGTGTAGCGGTATTGCCTGAAGATATGGACAAAAAATCAATATTGATCATCTTATACCAATGGTAGTCATGCCCTAAATAGAGGCAACTTGTAATTGAAAAAAAAAAAAAAATACTTGTATCAATAGATTGTTTAAATATTCGAATCTTTAAGTTTGTTAATGTTATAACCCAGGTGAAAAATATGTATTAAAAATGTACTTGAGTATGTTTTTAGTACAATAAAAAAAATACTCAAGTACAGTTACTTTTTATACATTTAATAGTACATCTACCCTAAACATACTCATGTCTGCTGGCCTGGAGAGGTCCATGGTCCTGTCTGAAGTGCATATAGGCTATCTGTAGCACATATGGGTTCAAACAGCAAGCCTCAAAGCCTGGGTGCAGAGTCAGGCACTGCACATCAAGTCTGGGGGTGACATTTTCCACTAAAGCCCAGTATGCATCCACCTCCCTGCAGCACTGACTTTCCTCAGCTGAGAACATTGCCTCGCATTTCCCACACAAGCACCTATGGAACAAAAACGTCTATCAGGAAAAAATATATATCTCTCTTAATGAGAAACTGTTAAGTTATCATGTAACGTTAGTCGGATAGGAGCATGACATACGCCTGATAAAAGCCTATTAGTTTCTGTTTTGGTACTTTCCAATAATCCTAGATGACCAATAAAAGCTTTGCTAACTAATATATGATTGTAATAATCAATATTATGAGCACAGTGTATATCGTTAGCGATTGTGAATTTATCTAAGCTAACACTGTTCTCTCTCACCAAGACACCTGTCCTGTTCTCCACCGGTTCTCCTCACACCACAACTCAATTTGTCTCCTCTGACCGTTCTGTCTAACATTAATCCTGGCCTGTTCCTGATCTCTTGGCAGCATAGCAGGCTCATAATTGTACGGCTGTGGTCCGTCATACGAGTAAATATGAACAATTTCTTCAGCGTCTGAAATATCACCGCGATCCATTGTTTTGCGGTTTGCATCAGCCACTGGCGGCTGGCGCTCTCCCGCTAGTTACGTCACGCCCGCCACGCCCATTTTCAGATGCGGAAGTAAAATTTTCTCACAAAAACGACTCTAGAAACTTCTGTAGCATATTTGTACGAATATTTTAAAGAAAATCTAGTTCCTACATTATTTTTATATACATTGACTCGTTGGGTCCTCTAACCTGCAATATGCCCTTTACTATTCAGTTTTTATTATTATTGTTATTTACAGTTCATATTATGCTATGTTCATTACTGTTCTGTCTAACTAAACAAGACATTTGCATTTACATTTGGGTTATGCAGTGTTTTTAAATTATATTTTACACTGGGGTGCCTTGAGATTTTATGCACTTTTGAAAGGTGCCCTGACTAAAAAAAGTTTGAGAAAGGCTGATTTAGCAGACACTTTTATCCAAAGTGACTTTCAAATTACAACAACAGAGGCAGCTGCAGCATTCTGGATCAATTGCAGAGGTTTGACAGTGCAAGCTAGAAAACCTGCCAAGAGAGGATTCCCAGATAGCAATTACATTTGGCCCGGATCCGTTTTAAGCCCCTTGCCTCCGTTTCTATCTTAGAGACGTTTTCTGATTGTGAACCAGATCCGTACCAGATATAAGTTTTAGCTTAAACATTCTAACTGCCATCAGTTCAGTATTTATACCATTTTACAGATCTGGCCCAGATCACTTTTCCGATATGTAACCGAAAGACAAGCTGTGTCTGACACTGATTTGGTCCAGAACTGCAATATGAATCTGAGCCGATACTGTTTTCACACTGGTGTGGCCCGAATCTGTGATACATATCTGAGCCGACTGCATTTTAAAAAGGGCTAAAAACTGTTCTGGCCCATATCTGCAAAACGAATTTGAGCCAACACTGTTTTGACAGAGATTACCTGATGTGGACCACATCCGAAATACTTTTCTCAAACTGTAAGAACTCCGTGCAATAAACATTTTCAAAACAACATGGTTGTCTGCATATTTTTTTTCTATCTAGAGCATGAGATAAATGTATTGTCATTAAGCTGAGCAATATTATTAGTGTTTAAAAACTATAGGCCTACAGCAAAATTTTGTGATGCTGGTCCGTTACAGCACAGCAGTTTGAGCTCCGTTTTAGGTCCGTTTCACGACAGCGCCAAGTGAACGTTGGGTCTCGCTTGACTGTCGTCTTGCAGATACGGTCCACATCCGTACTACGGACTTCAGCCAGAAGCGCCCAAAAAAAAAAAAAAAAAGATATCATCATCAAACCAAGCTCAACGCAGATTTAACTGACCTGCTAGGCTACCACACGTAAGTTTTTATGTGTTTATTCTATGTGTTTATTATGTACATCTATTTGTATGTGTTTATTCTAATTTACTGTATTACTTAAAAGTGCAAGTGAAATGCTGTTTGCTTTATAGATAGCAGTTACAGGCTTGTTATAGTATTTGCGAATCAAAGTGTGTTAAAGACGCATCTGCTATAGCCCTACAGCCCGATCTCATGAAAGTTCGTGTCTATGGCACGAATGTCATTTCTCGTGGCATTTATACGCCAAAAACAGTTTTTGCGTGTATTTGGCACGCGATTTTCGCGTACATATGATACGCACTTTTTTGCGTATAATACGCACGAACTCCCCACCCCCCTCCCCCCTAAACCTAACCCAGGGTTTTTTAGTGCGTACCATATACACGAAAAAAACATCTTCATGAGACTGTGTTGAGCCCTACTGCGCTATACAAATAGGGTGTAGCACAGAATAGACCCGATTAGGATAACCAAACCAACTTTTTAATGGCATATATTTGCGTTAATGTGCTGAATTTTAAAAGGTAATTATAGTCTTAGGATGCCCAGACGTCCCCGCGGTTGTCATTTTGGTTGCCTCCGGGAAAATTCAGAAAAACTGTTACCTGTCCCTGTTTTTTTTTTTTTTTTTTTTTTTTGAAGATGTATTTTAATCAGATTTACAGTCAAACTAAAAATGTCCCCGTTTTTTCCAAAATTTTGGGAGTCCCCGGTTTTGGTCTCGGCCATTTGGTCTTAGCTTTAGCCGCTATGCCGTTAAAGCGCTGATAATTGCAGGCACACATTCGTGAAAATGACACCATTATGAGCTTAATTTTACACCTTGACCGACCATTTAAACACTCGCTTGATTTGTATGCTCCCAGCTAGCCATCATCTAGCAGTGTCAATCACTGATGCCACAACCTGCAGCTTATCTTTTTCATTTTTGAGCACCACTATTTGGATTGCTGAACATTGCAGTTGCTTGGCTGTTAACAATTAAGTTAGACACTCTCAGAAAAACTTATTTTTGTGTTTTAATGGCAGTTGGCAAACTTAACGGTGCATTAACGGTGCCACCTCTCAGAAAGACAAACCTAGCAATAACATTCGAGGACGTAGGTTATATCAGAAAACGTCACGATGAGAAATAAAATGATTCGTCAGATTTCCCAGCAGGCCGTGCTTTTTTGTAAAAATGGAGAATAAAACACAGTCCAGGCAAACTAATTAACTCATTTTGGATCCACATTTTTTTTTCTGCATAGATAATTTCTATGAGGTCAGACACTGGCGTAGGAACCGGGGACGTGTCCCCCTCAATATGGAAAAATGCGGCATGTGTCCCACCCAAAAAAATCCATACCTAACCTACCACAGGAACAAAAACTGTACATTTGGAACTTTTATTTTTAAAGCGCGACAAAGAAGATATACAGTTTTGCCAGCAAGTCAAACCCAGAGTCATAGTTAGGTTAAACCATTAAACCTTCCCATTTCATGTTTGAATAATCACCATTCGCTTCATATATTTCACTCATCACCGGAGCATCTGATTGGTAGAGAGAAGTTAACATTACACTAGAAACGCACCAGCTTTAAACTGGAACCTACATGATTTATCTAATCTGACAGTGTTATTTTTGTTATTAGCTCCATAATGTTACTTATAATATCACATACCTTTGTTTGCAGTTTGAATAAATAATAAACACAGCAGTTTGAACTCTTCTTCACTTTATTATTATACCACACATCAGATCTCCAAAATCCCGCGACCATACCAAGTGCGCATGACCCATCTACGGCAAGCCCCGAGGGGAAAAATACATTGCATACACACATACAACGAGCGCTAGTACATCATTACCGGTGTTAACAGACTTTGTTGGATTATGTCATTTACAACCCAAAAAAGTCTGTTACAATAATAATAATAAAAAAGATTTTGAGGACAGTTACACGTTGAGAAAGTTGAGAAATAATAATATTTTTAAACAATAATTGTCATTATTGAACCCTTGCTCTTATTTTGTTTCTGATTTCTGAGCTTTGTCATTATTTTAGCAAATAATTTATTTTTATATATTTTGACACGGTTTGTTTTAAGAAGTTTCAAAGAGTTAGTAAAAGAGTTAAGTAAAAGAAATAGAAAATAAAATTAATCCATTGTTTCAGAGGCTCGGACGAAGGAACTAAAAATACTTTTGTGTTCACGTGTACATCCGAACACTCAACGGCCATGCTTCGACTGCGCAGCTCCGTCTCGTCTGTCACTGAACATGGGCTGGCATGCAAATATTTGGAGTCATACATATTAATGATCCTGACTTTTACGTCAGAGTCGGTATTATGTGGAGATTCGCCTGTTTTTCAGGGGTGTTTTTCAAAAACGAAGTAAGAAGCAGAAAATAATGATGTTTGAGACTCACGTCCATGTAGCCTACTGAACTCTTGTTATTTAACTATGCCAACATAAATTCAATTTCACATTACAGGGCACCTTTAACGAGTAAAATATTACTGAAAATCGATTAGTAATGCCTTACACTACTGCGTTACAGCAAAAATTAATGTTACTATAATGTATTACTTTTGTAGCGCGTTACTCCCAACACTGCACAAGCACAACCCTGCTAATCAGTAATGCTTTCCAGGTGCAGTGCGCAAATGTGCACTGATAACAACTGCAACAGAAGCAGAAATCTGGAGGCACGCAATTCGGTGGTTTGCACTTTCGGCGGACAGGAGCGGAGGGCGCCAGGAGAGACTGGCGCGTCAGCAGCAAGAGCAGCAATTACAGCTGCCACTGCACCCACACATTGATTTTGTTTAAAGGAACACTCCGACTTTTTGGGACTTTAGCCTATTCACCTTACCCCCCAGAGTTAGATAAGTCCATACATACCTTTTTCATCTCCGTGCGTGCTATAAGTCTGTTTGGCGCACCCACCGCTAGCCTAGCTTAGCACAAAGACTGGATGTGACTGGTTGCAGCTTTCATACTAATCCAAATGAGTGGCAAAATAACGCAAACGTTTTCCTATTTACATGTTGTGATTTGTATAGTCACATAATGTACAAATAACAAAGTCAAATGAGACACAGACATCTTTTAACCGTATAAAACCTGGGAACTATTCTCTGAAGGCGAAGCACTGCTACTTTGGCGGAGTGAACCGCATCACCTGAGACACGCGGTGGTGAGGAGCGGATAGTTCGTTCAGTGTTTGGGTGACAGAGTCAGCAATTTATAAATAGTAAAAGCGTAGTTTAGAGTCATGGGTTTTCGCTCTATTGTAAATAGCTGCGACTGTAAACAGGGGAGGTAATACCATGTTTCACAGAATTCCAACTAAAAACGCTGACTGGATGAAGAAATGGCTAACTTACTCTGGATATTTATCCAAACACACCTAAGATTATCAAGGGACATTATGTTTGCTCGGTACATTTCAATGGACGACTATTTTGAAAAAATGGAATTTGCCACACGGACCATAATGTGCTGAAGGATACGGCCATCCCATCGATAGCACAGACAGGACAAGTGGATCACCTGCGGCTGAGGTAAGTGTTTTTAGATGACCTACTGTAACAGTGCCTTTAGCCAGAGCTAATGTAATGTTAGTGACACTATTATATGACTAGGGTATGAATACGTTTTTATCTTGATGCGGTGCGG